TTATTTGGTCTGGCTGTCAGGAAATTTCTCCTTCTCTTTTTCCCCCCCTTGATTGCACTTTCTTGTATCTGTTAAAATAAAACAAATATATAGATTAGAGAAGGAAAATCAGTGAGGAAGGAAGGAAGGTAGAAAAGAAAGGAAGGATAGAGAAGGTAGAAAAGGAAGGAAGGAAAGGTAGAAAAGGAAGGAAAAGGAAGGATAGAGAAGGTAGAAAAGGAAGGAAGGAAAGGTAGAAAAGGAAGGAAAGAGAAGGAAGAAAAGGAAGGAAGGAAAGGTAGAAAAGGAAGGAAAAGGAAGGATAGAGAAGGTAGAAAAGGAAGGAAGGAAAGTGAAGGTAGAAAAGGAAGGAAAGGTAGAAAAGGAAGGAAGGAAAGGAAAGAAAAAAGGAAGAATAAAGGTAGAAAAGGAAGGAAAGAAGGTAGAAAAGAAAGGAAGGAAGGAAAGAGGAAGAACAGGAAGGATAGAGAAAGTAGAAAAGGAAGGAAGGAAGATGAAAAGGTAGAAAACGAAGAAAGGATAGAGAAGGTAGGAAAGGAAGGAAGGATAGAAGGTAGAAAAGGAAGGAAAGAAGGTAGAAAAGAAAGGGAAGGAAGGAAGAAACCGAAAGGATAGAGAAGGTAGAAAAGGAAAGAAGGAAAGGAAAAAGGAAGGATAGAGAAGGTAGAAAAGGAAGGAAAGAGGGAGGAAGGAAAGGAAAAAGGAAGGATAGAGAAGGTAGAAAAGAGGGAGGAAGGAAAGGAAAAAGGAAGGATAGAGAAGGTAGAAAAGGGAGGAAGGAAGGTAGAAAAGAAAGGGAGGAAGAGAAGGAAGAAAAGGAAGAAAGGATAGAGAAAGTAGAAAAGGAAGGAAGGAAAGGTAGAAAAGGAAGGATAGAGAAGGTAGGGAAGGAAGGAAGAAGAAAAGGTAGAAAACAAAGAAAGGATAGAGAAGGTAGAAAAGGAAGGAAGGAAGGTAGAAAACAGAGGAAGAGAAGGAAGAAAAGGAAGAAAGGATAGAGAAAGTAGAAAAGGAAGGAAGAAAAGGTAGAAAAGGAAGAAAGGATGAAGGTAGAAAAGGAAGGAAGGAAAGGAAAGGAAAAAGGAAGGAGGGTATATCAATAAAGTGTTATTTAGGCGGGGGGGGGGAAGCCAAATACTACAAAAATGTAAATTTCTGGTTGGCCCTGAGCATGGTAACTGCACAGGTGGTAACTGTCATGAAAAGACAAATGGGCACCTTAGAAATACTCATCAGTTGTGTGAAGGGCCCATCTGCTACAAATTCTCAACCTGACCAGTTTTCCTTCCCCCTGAAGGTTTCGAAGTGCAGTGTGAGCACCCTCTCCTCCCTGCATTTCTATACAGGAAGTCCTCGACTTACATCCTTTTTGTTTAGGGACCGTTCGGAGTCACAGCCGCCCTGGAAAAAAACAAAAGCGACCGATGTCCATTTTTTTCGATCCGTCGCAGCCTCCCCAGGGTCACGTGGCCAAAATTCAGACCCTTGGCAGCCGACTCGTGTTTACGACGGTCGCAGTGTCCCGGGGAGTGTGTGTGTGTGTGTCACTTTCATTTTCATCGTGTTTGAATGTAGATACCTTTTTAATCTCTTATAAACCACCCAGAATTACCTTAAGGGTAAGATGGGCAGCCCGTCAAATTTTTAAATAAATAAATTATCGCTCAGTAGTGAAACGAGCGGAACATAAATTCCGTAAATAAATGGATTAGCCACTCTGTTTGTACTCAGCCCCAGGTGACGATGTGTTGTGTTTTTTTCCAGAGTTGTGGCTTGCATAAGACACCCAACGCCATCCCCTGTTTCTGTTTTGTTTGTTTTTTCCTTGCAGTACCTAAAATTAAAGAATTTTGAGGAGGAGGTCAGAGCCCACCGCGATCTGGACGGCTTCCTGGCCAGAGCGAGCATCATTCTGGACGAGACGGCCACGTCACTGGACGACGTTTTGCGGGAGATGTTAAAACACTTTGCCGAAGACTCCGACAACTCGGAGCCGAGCTGCAACTTTGACAAAATTATGAGCACTTTATTCACCGATTCGGGGACCCCCAGAGAGGGGAATGGTACAGTTCCTTCTCTTTTGTCTTAAGCTGGGAAAATGTGGATGATTTTTTTTTTCGTAGGACGTTGGCGTTCTGGGTACCCTCTTCCCAATCCATAGTAATATAATAATAATAACAATAATAATAATAGTAATAGTAGTAGTAGTAGTAATAATAATAATAATAATAATAGTAGTAGTAGTAATAATAATAATAATAATAATAATAATAATAATAATAAAAAAGTTGGAAGGGACCTTGGAGGTCATCTAGTCCAACCCCGTGCTCAGGCAGGAAACCCTATACCAGTGATGGCGAACCTCTTAGAGACCGAGTGCCCAAACTGCAACCCAAAACCCACTTACGCATCCTCGGGTGCTGGGTGGGTGTGGCCCATTGGGTGGGCGTGGCTGCGATGGTAACGGCAGACTGGGTGGGACTAAAAAGTTCAATCAATTCCAACTTTGCAAGATCTTATTTTTTCCCGCGCGAAGTTGAAATTGACTGATTGAACCTTTTTTTTTTTGCACACGGCGGCAGAGACCTAAAGCGAAAAAGATTTATAAAACCCAGCTGAAGGCCTAGGACTGGGGTGACGGTGCGCGTGCCCACAGAGAGGGCTCCGAGTGCCGCCTCTGGCACCCGTGCCATAAGTTCACCACCACTGATCTATAATGTAATAATAATAAAATTGGAAGGGACCTTGGAGGTCATCTAGTCCAACCCCCTGCTGAGGCAGGAAACCCTCTGCCATTTCAGACAAATGGCTGCCCAGTCTCTTCTTAAAAACCTCCAGTGTTGGAGCATTCACCGCTTCTGGAGGCAGGTGGTTCCACTGGTTAATTGTTCTAACTGTCAGGAAGCTTCTCCTTAGTTCTAGGTTGCTTCTCTCCTTGATTGGTTTCCATCCGTTGCTTCTTGTCCTGCCTTCAGGCGCTTTGGAGAATAGCTTGACTCCCTCTTCTTTGGGGCAGCCCCTGAGAAACTGGAAGACTGCTATCATGTCCCCCCTTTCACTCTCCATCTCTAATGTTGGAAAATGCCTACTGTTGATCCTGGGATTCCTCTGCACCTTAATTTACATGGAATATAGAAAATAGAACCTCAGGGCTGGAAGGAGGGGACCTTAGAGGTCTTCTAATCCAAACCCATGCTCAAATCATGACACCTGTCAAATGATTGACACCAGCCTCTTTTTGAAAAATCTAAGACGAGGGATTTCAACCTATTCTCCAAAGTGCCTGAAGGCAGAACAGGAAGCAACGGGTGAAAACTCATCAAGGAGAGAAGCAACCTGGAATTAAGGAGAAGTTTCCTGACAGTGAGAACAATTAACCAGTGGAACAACCTGCCTCCAGAAGTTGTGGGTGCTCCAATGTTGGAAGTTTTTAAGAAGAGATTGGGCAGCCATTTGTCTGAAATGGTATAGGGTCTCCTGCTGGAGCAAGGGGCTGGACTAGAAGACCTCCAAGGTCCCTTCCAATTCTGTCATTCTGTATCCTGTTGAAGTTCAGAAGAGAAGGATTAGGGGAGACATGATGGCAGTGTTCCAATATCTCAGGGGCTGCCCCCAAGAAGAGGGAGTCAGCCTATTCTCCAAAGCGCCTGAAAGCAGGAGAAGAAACAACGGGTGGAAACTAATCAAGGAAAGAAGCAACCGAGAACTAAGGAGAAATTTCCTAACAGTGAGAACAATTAATCAGTGGAACTCCTTGCCTCCAGGAGTTGTGGGTGCTCAATCACTGGAGGTTTTTAAGAAGAGATTGGACAATCCTTTGTTTGAAATGGCACAAGGTCTCCTGCTGGAACAGGGGGTTGGACTAGGTGACCTCCAAGGCGCCTCCCAACTCTGCTACTCTGAAAAGCTCCAGTGATGGAGATTACAAGCAAAACACCAGAAGACCAAATTTTCTATAGGTTTCTGGCAAACGTGGAGTGAACTTAAAGGCAACTGTATATGTAAAATGAATCAAAATTATTATTATTTTTTTCTTTTTTCTTTTTTGTCTTTCGAACAGTTCACCTTTTGTCGGACACAATTCAGGGGGTGACCGCCACAGTCACCGGGATCCAGTATCAGCAGTCGTGGCTCTGTATCATGTAAGTGTTTTGTCCAAAAGATTCAACAGTAACATTTTGGTGCAATTGAGGCTGTATCTTAACGAATCTTTTTTGTTTTGTTTTTTAAAAAAATAGTTTATTGGTTTTTAACAATAACCATCTCTAGTGCCTGGTGTACAGCGCGTTGTCTTGGTTTATATATTTGAGGGGGGGAAAAGACAATAATAATTAACCGTCAATAATGGTTAAATTTGATAATTCCATAATTAGTATGTTAGTTAATAACATATTTCTTTGGTCTTCCCTTCTCCCATTTGCATTCTCCTTCTTCATCCTTAAACAAATATAATTCTTAATGTTTTCAATATATAAATGGTTAAATACAGACATTTTTTCATACTTATACAGATAGTGATAGCTATGTATAACATTTTTTAATCAGCTTATATTATTCTTATAACCATCGTCTCATCCTATTTTCGTGGTTTTTGTTTAAGCTTAATTTCCCCTTTTATTCGATCCATTCTTATCAGTCATGATTTTTTCCATGTTAGTCATCTAAACATCCAGAGAGAGAGTGGGTTTTCTTGCAGACGTCTCATGACCCAACTAGGTAACATCATCAGTGATAGAAGGGAATGAGATTTGTGGAAAGGAGGAGGAGGAGGACTGCAGGATCCCTAGTGCTCTCTGAGCATGTTTTTTTCTTGCAGACATCTCATTACCCAACTAGGTAACATCATCAGTGATACAAGGGTGTGGGGTTTGCAGAGAGAAGGAGGAGGAGGACTGAGTGGTCCTTGGTGCTCTTTTAGCAACAGAAATTGTTGGGCTCAGTTATGGTCGTAAGCCGAGGATTACCTGAATTCCCAAATTCATTTTGTGCATTTGTTTCATCACCTTCTCTTAATTGACATTATGTGGGCAGCGAAAATAAAGAGAGAAAGCACAGCTCGAAGTAACATTTCTTAATTTTACGGCGTTTTCTTTGTTTGGTTTTTCATCTGAGAAGCTTCTTTTTCAGCTCAGCCATTGAGTTCTTTAAAGCCAAATTATTCTTCAATAGAAAAGGGAGGAATACAATCCAGCAGCACCTGCTGAAGCAGAATAAAACAATGGCGCAGAGAACAAAACGCACAACTTTTCAGCCCTTTGGAAGCCGTTGAATTTTTAAAGCTTTTACGTACACTCTACTTACCTTTTTTTTTTTTTTGGGGTACTGTGGGAGAGAAAATAACGAAGGAACACATTTCCTTCCTTTAAAAATGCAAAAGAACAGAAGTTTGAATGTATTTTATGACCGCTAGGGTTTCAATAGACACATAGTCCTTGACTTAACAACTACCTTTGGGACGCGAAATTCCTTTTGCTAAGCAAAGTGGTCATTAAGTGAATTGTACCTGATTTTATGACCTTTTTCGGCCAGGGTTGTTAAGCAAATGACTGCATTTGTTAAGTAGTCATTAAGCGAATCCAGCTTATCCTGTTGGCTTTGCTGGGAAGTCACAAATGGGGTGTCATGGTTCCGACAGATGAAACTCTTCGAAAGAACTTCGAGGCATTGTTTACCTTAAAGAACCTTTTATTCGAGTAGCATAATATCGGCACTACACAATCGAAGCCAAAAACTGAATTCCCCTCCCCTGAGCACATAGTATCAAAGCACAATTCCCTCCTCCAATTAACAGTCATAAATCACATTCCCCAATTAGCTTGAAGCTCCGGCTTCCTCCAGCTCACCAGTTCTTTATCAGTTCTGAGCTCAATAACCTTGATTCTCACGCTGGGTTTAGTGTTGTTATCTCTAGCTGGACTCTCATTCACATTCTCCCCCTCCCAGCATCATTTAACTCTAAAAGCAAAAGATAAAAGATGGCTACACTTCCCTCTGTTGTCAATGCAAAAACATCCAATGTTAGCAGCGTTGACATGGGGATCACAGGATCCCAAAAGTTGCAATTGCCATAAATCCGTAAAGCTAAGCTTCCAAAATTTCATCGCCTAACTGCGGGAATGCTGCAACGGTCATAAGTGCGAGGACCGGTTGTAAGTCACTTTGGGCAGTGTTGCCGTAACTTCAGTGAATTGAGTCGATGATCTGCATTTTACTTAGATGCAGCATTGATGCACACAACGTCTGAAGTCGAATCCTCACAAGGTAGAATTTCTTGGTAGGGGAAAAAAAAAAAAAAGACCTTGTGTTCAAAATTAGGCCTGTGCATCTATAGAAGTAGCCCTCAATTTACAACAGCTCGTTTAGTGACTGTTCAGAGTTAAAGCAGCACACTGAAAAAAGGGACTTACGACCATTTTTCACAGTTAACGACCTTGGCAGCCTCCCCGTTCAACAACTTTTAGATGCTCGGCAACCGATTCGTATTTATGACGGTCGCCGTATCCCCGGACTCATGTATGTGATCCCCTTTTGTGGCCTTCCGACAAACCAAGTCATTAGGGGAGCCCGATTCACTTAACAACCGTGTTACTAACTTAATGATGGCAGTGGTTCACTTAACTTTGGCAAGAAAGCTCGTAAAACAGGGGGGGGGGGAACCTCACTTAACCAACGTCTCGCTTAGCCACGGAAATATTTGGGCTCCCTTGTGGTCGTAAGTCGAGGACTACGGGTATCCTGGAAAAAGTTGGGGGTGCACGGCAGACATTGAAGTAAGTCAACCGGCGTGGCGGTTTCCACAAGCTTTGCACTCTTCCCTTCTTAGCCACAGAAACGTTGGACCCGATCGTGGTCGTAAGGCGAGGAATATCTGTACGCTTTTGAGTCCCAACCGTTCTTGGATTCAAAACACCCCGTTTTGAACACTGCGCCGATGCTTCAGGTGCAGACGTGGGCTTTTCACATTCTGGAGAGAATTTCAATTATGTCGAGAAAATTTGGGGCTGAAAAGACAATTTTAGCTTCTTCATGGTTGCGAGTGAGAAGACCTCGCTTAACAAGTCCCCAAGCAAGTGTGGGCAAAATTTATGCTGACACATATGTACGCAAGTTACAGCCAGGAACGATCACTGCCAAAAAAATTAAAAAATTAAGTTGAACTTAAATCGAAACGTCTTAGAGCCAGGAGGGTGTCCAACCCCCGGGCCGTGGACCGGTACCGGTCTGTGGCATGCTAGCAACCGGTCCACACAAACAAGCAAAGCCCCATCCGTGGGATGTAGGCAACACACAAAACCATGCACCCTCCGGTCCGTGGAAAAACCTCTCTCCACGGAACCGGTCCCTGGTGCCCAAAAGGTTGGGGACCTCTGTTTTAAGGCAGTGGTCCCCAACCCCTGGTTCATGGACCGGTACCGGGCCGTGGCATGCCAGCAACCGGTCCACACAAACAAGCAAAGCCCCATCCGCGGGATGTAGGCAACACACAAAACCACGCACCCTCCGGTCCGTGGAAAAACCTCTCTCCACGGAACCGGTCCCTGGTACCCCAAAAGCAGGAGGGTGTCCAGCCTTGGCAACTTTTAAGACTTGTGGACTTCAGCTCCCAGAATTCCCCAGCCAGCCATGTTCTTGGTGGATGTGGGGAAGTCAGATTGGCGAAATGGCCACTTGATCCGCTTAATAAAATTGATCTGCTTAATAACAACTGTGGCGAGAAAGGGCATCAAATGGAGCAAAGCTCACTTCAGCTGCTTTGCTTAGCACCAAAAATGTGGGGCTCCGTTGTGGGCGTAAGTCGAGGACTACTTGTATATTCTGCCCCTCCCCCTTAGAAAAAAAGGACAGTTTTATCTAAGGAATATCTTTAATTCAGGGACTATCGCACAATTTTCAGGATCTAGGGCAGGGGCAGGCAACCTTGGCTCTTTTATGACTCGTGGACTTCAACTCCCAGAATTCCTGAGCCAGCCACGCTGAGGGGAGAGGGAGAGGTTTCCAAGCTGAGCCGTGCTGGTTCAGGAATTCTGGGAGTTGAAGTCCACGAGTCATGAGGGGGCCATAGTTCCCCCATGCTGGTTCAGGAATTCTGGGAGTTGAAGTCCGCGAGTCATGAAGGGGTCATCGTTTCCCCATGCTGGCTCAGGAATTCTGGGAGTTGAAGTCCGCGAGTCAGGAAGGGGCCATAATTCCCCCATGCTGGCTCAGGAATTCTGGGAGTTGAAGTCCCCGAGTCATGAAGGGGTCATCGTTTTCCCATGCTGGCTCAGGAATTCTGGGAGTTGAAGTCCATGAGTCATAAAAGAGCCAAGGTTGCCTACCCCTGGCCTAGGGGAAATATATGACATGTGGACCTTTTCCAATCTTTTATTTTTTGAGCTGTTTCTCTACAAGTCGTCCCTGACTGACTGACAACTGTTTCTTGAGTGACTCTTCAGAGTTACGACAGCATGGAAAAAAGTGACTTATGACCATTTTTCACACTTAACGACCGTTGCGGCCTCCCCGTGGTCACGGGATCAAAATTTGGTTGCTTGGCAACTGACTCCTATTTAGGACGGTCGCCGTGTCCCTGGGGGATCACGTGATCCCCTTTTGCCAGCTTCCGACAAGCAAAGTCCACGGGGGAAATCCAGATTCACTTAACAGCCATGTCACTAACTTAACAACCGCAGGGATTCATAACATCGGTGACAAGAAAGGTCGTAAAATGAGGCAAGACTCAGCTATTGTCTCGCTTAGCGACAGAAATGGTTAGGCTCCCTTGTGGTCATAAGCCGAGGACTGCCTGTGTAATTCATGTTCCTGCCGCAGTTCCTAAGGAGTTAATCCGAGTCTCGCTTTGTCTTTTAACAAAATGCCAGACCCTGAGAATTCAAGAGAAGAAGCAACAATGCAAATATTAAATTAGTCTTCCAAGATCATGTTCTAAAGAGATTCTTCCTCTTTAATTACCTTTTCTCTCTCTCTCTTGCCACTTTGATGATAGGAGAGAGGCTTTTTATTGTGAAAATGTTCTCTTTAATTAAATGCAGGCAACTCGTTTTACCCATAAGGATTGGGGTAATTCGTTTATACCGAGTAATGCAGGAGCTGGCTAATGTTTTCTTGCAGTTTTAGGAAGGGCTTAGGAAGCAAAAAAAAA